ACCAATGGATCCTCTGCAGTGAATGGGTGCCGTCAGAATGAGAGTCCAAACAGCTGATAAAACATCACAAAAATCACTTCCAGCCAAAATACAAGTCCATAATCCATAATAATGCTTCCTTCAGTGAGACAGTAATGCTAAATTTCCCCAAATCTGCTCTGATGAGGAAACAAACTCATCTACAGCTTGGGTGGCCTGAGGGTGGGTAAATGTTAATTGTTAATAGGACACAAATATTCTAAGCCAAACGCTCCATTTTTGAGATATCGGTTCCATGTCTCCTCTCTAAATATTTACACTACAGAAGAAAATCTATAGAACGACAGTGGATGCTTACAGAGAGAATCAAGAAATAGGCTTTGAAAACAAATCTTCTCTCTGAATTTCAACACTATTTCGGATTGAAAATAACAAGAAGGAAATCTGCTTAAGTTAAGAACGTAGCCTGTGACAGGTGTGAAATTTTGCCATAAATCGCATTAATAAATGGTTATAAAACTGCATTTATATCTCGGGAATAAAGTCTTATATTCTCACATGAGAAGAGCATGCAATTAATGAATTTTAGAAGCTCTTTAACTCGACGTCCACATGCACAAACACCAACTTCAGTCGATGGAAAACGATACTCAGCATGGAGTAAATATCCAGATGATTTTAATCTAAATCACACACACACTAAGAAGCAATCTGACCACTTGGAAAAATGCAACGGAAATTGGATGAAATTAAGACGGCTGGCCATCTCAGTGTCTGCCCGGATTTGTTCTGAATACGAGGTCCTCTTTACAGGAGATTGTATTTCTCCAACACTGAATAGCTTTTCTCTGAGGAATGTTTTAGACCAGAATGAACAGTTTGTGTGTTGTTTTGACCCAAGTTAAAGGAATAGTTCATCCATAAATGAAAATCCACTGAAAATTGACTCACCCTCAGGTCATCCAAGGTGTAGAGGAGTTTATTTCTTCATCAGATTTTAGGGAAATGTAGCAGTATATCACTTGCTCACCAATGGATCCTCTGCAGTGAATGGGTGCCGTCAGAGTCCAAACAGCTGATAAAAACCCATCACAATAATCCACACCATTCCAGTCCATCAGTTAACATCTTCTGAAGAGAAAAGCTGCGTGTTTGTAAGAAACAAATCCATCAAGACATTTTTTACTTCAAACGGCTGCTTCCAGCAAAAATAAGAGTCCTCTATCTATAATATTGTTTTATCCAGTAAAAAAAGTTGTCTCATCTGAATCAGGAGAGAAATCTGCACAGATCAAGCAATGTTTACGAGCTAAAACAGCCCAAAACAGCTCTAAACACATATGTCTGTGAATTTTAATGTGAAAGGACAATAGGGGATGGACTTTTTCACTGGAGGAAGTGTTATTATGGATTATGGACTAAAGTTACAGTTTATAGAGTTAAAATGCCTTATTGATGGGCTGGTTTCTTGCAAACACACTGCTTTTCACTTCACAAGACGTTAACTGATGGACTGGAGTGGTGTGGGTTACTTGTGGATTATTGTGATGTTTTTACCAGCTGTTTGGACTCTCATTCTGACGGCACCCATTCACTGCTCCATTGGATCCATTGGCGAGCAAGTGATGTAATGCTACATTTTTCCAAATTTGTCTTGACGAACAAAAACTCATCTACATCGTCGATGGCCTGAGGATGGGTAAATTCTCAGGAAATTTGCCTTTTGGGGGGAACTATTCCTTTAAATGTATAATATTGTTTTATCCAGTAAAAAAAGTTGTCTCATCTGAATCAGGAGAGAAATCTGCACAGATTAAGCACTGTTTACAAGCCACAACAGCTCTAAACAAATATGTGGCTGGATTTTGATGTGAGAGACAACAGGAGATGCACTTTTTCACTGGAGGAAGTGTTATTATGGATTATGGACTAAAGTTACAGTTTATAGAGTTAAAATGCCTTATTGATGGGCTGGTTTCTTGCAAACACACTGCTTTTCACTTCACAAGACGTTAACTGATGGACTGGAGTGGTGTGGGTTACTTGTGGATTATTGTGATGTTTTTATCAGCTGTTTGGACTCTCATTCTGACGGCACCCATTCACTGCTCCATTGGATCCATTGGCGAGCAAGTGATGTAATGCTACATTTTTCCAAATTTGTTTTGACGAACAAAAACTCATCTACATCGTCGATGGCCTGAGGATGGGTAAATTCTCAGGAAATTTGCCTTTTTGGGGGAACTATTCCTTTAAATGAGATACTGTGGACATGTCTGTATCAAGCTATAAAAATGCACTTTCCTAAACTAATGGCATCAGGTTCAGCACAAAAATTTCAGGTTGATAAAAACCAATGTGCATTAATATCTAGAACACCTCTGCTCATTATGTAAGTTTCCATTTGTAGGATGACATAACAGTACAAGCAATATTGCCTGAGGCTGCGTTAGACACAGACAGGCGCTGGAAATGAACTGGAGCGGTTTAGTACTCAACAGACACGAGTCTGCGATGGTGACACTCATTGGAATGATCTGTAAAGAGATGCACAGCTTGCCCTTTGAGTTTAGGGTGAATTCACAGTAGTTCACTGCAGAAATCAGAAGGACATGATTTAACGTAACACACTCCAGGCAATCTCACTTATTCATGCCCCAATATACAAACTGAGTCTTTTTATGCTTAAATAGGGTACGACTGCTGAATTTTAAATGGGCCATAATCATCAATAATTAATGTAGATATAACATGGATTTATTTATTGATGAAAAGGGTTATATAGAGCAATGGTTCTCAACGGGTTTGGCTTCAGGAAATCCACAGTATGCAAAATGATAAATATAAAGGAAAATTAATCATTTTTGGTTTCTAAACCTCTCCTACATTTAAATGGCTTCATGCTCTCGTTGTCATCAATAATTCACAGCATGAAAAAACACATCGTGGTCTGCAATCCATATTTATCTGAGTGAATTTGTGTATTCTGGGTTGTAAGATCTGAGATGTGTTTTAAACATTGATTATACCTATTAATTTTGCAATTTTAGCTATGCAAGGTTATATAATTAGTTAAATTAGCATTTAATGTGAATATATTTAGTGTTTTGGGGTCATGAACCACCAGTTGAGACCCAGATGTAGATGATTACAACAGGAACAATCATGCACAAATGTGCACTGTACAGGTATTAAATAAATAAGTCCTCTCTGAACCCTCTCCGGTATCAAGTAACTTTTGAAAAAAAAAGTTCAGTCTTCTGGTGCCAAATACCAGTAAACCAAAGTGCATGAAGGTCTGAACAGTAGCTTTTTATGCAGGCATATAATGAAGCATGCAAAATCTCCAATAACGTACACATACACATATATATATATATATATATATATATATATAAAGAAACTGAGATGCTAAGTCAAAAAAGCAGATATTTTTACGTCTCTACAAGCTGCAGCAACACATGCAAACTATTACAGATCACAAATTGTATCATCTGCTTGAACTGATAATGAATGGGAACCAAAGCTAATATGCGATATTATATTATATATTACAGGTTACAAAGTGTGACAGCTGATTGGATATGCCTGTCACTTTCAGATAACGTCTAATAAATGAAATGCCTTTGGATTGTGTGGGCGAATCAGTGAAAATCAATCTTTCGCCGTCACTCATTTGATCAAGAGAAACTAAACTGCATCTTCTCGATCGCCGCCCATGCTGTGGTTATTTTGTTTGGATACATGGCAGGGTGACCCTGGTGTGAATCGATCAATCATGTGTTTGGTGGGCAGAAGCTCGCTCTCTCTCTCTTCCTGCTGCTGGCATTAATGGTGAATGAGTGTCACTGAGACAAAAGCAGCACAAACACGGGCTTCCCCTGCCATCACGTCCATCAACAGGGTGTAACATGCACCAGCACTCTGCATATATCTACGAAACAAACACACAAGTGACAGCACAGATGCCCGTGGAACTCCCGAACAGGGAATAACTAATGCTTCTGCATAAAATCAGCAACATTTTAGACTGAAATAGCCAGGACAATGGTGCACTGTGACAGCGCTGAGATCAACTTTGAGGAAAAGAGACCTCTGATGTGCCAGCAAGAGATGCAGATGGTTCAAGACACATGCGGTCAGAAACACACGGCTTTATATTCCCCCACCATGTCAAATTACATTTAATTCAGCAGGATGAACAGAGACAGAGAGATTAAAAGAGCATCATATCGATGACCGAGCGCCGAGAGCAAAGAGCCAAAGTCTGTCCTACAGCTGAAACATCCTTGAGTGAAACTGAACCAAACATTGTGTAGCATCCAACAGAAATTCAACTAATTTCACAGCAAGGAAATTACATTTAGGCAGCCTGCATGGACCAGTACACTTCATATATATTTATAAACATTAAAAAAAAAATCTGATATTGTAATGCTGTTTTTTTGTGTGTGTTGTTTTTTTACAAAAACAACAACCTTGTAAGAACCTAAAAAGTAACTCAAATTACCATAAAGCAAAATATAATGATTCGAATGAATAAGGTACCAATACACTTAAATGATTAATAAAACTTTGCATCATTCACACAGAAGACATTCTAATGTCTTCAAGTCTGATATATTTTAAAGTGTTGTCTCATAGGACTGGGATAAAATACAACAACCTAAAACAAGTAAACAAAAAAAGAATCAATAAATAAAATATTTTTAAAAATAAAATTAACTAATATATACACACTTGAAATTATTAATTAAACTCTACTAAAGTAGATTCATGAACCTTTGATCCGTTCACTTAACAGACATTCAAAACCGTTATTGCAATGTTTTTTGTCTTTCAGACTGGGATTAAACGCAATAACCTAAACTGTCATCAAAAAATAATGCATTCACCAATAATAAATATATAAATGCATTAACAACCTGTGGAAATAAAGCTCTTGGATACACGCAACTTTACGCATCAATGCATTCGTGCCCAAAACACACGCATCACTCAGCACTGTATTTACTGGTTACCTGTGTGACAGATGAGCCACAGCTGCGCGATGAACAGATGTGATTTGGCTGCGATCAGACGCATCGTCTTCAAGCTTTAAACGTGCTGGAGTTAAACGTGGAGGGAACGCTGATCTGTTGAGAACGCAGTAGCAGCTATTGCAGTGATGTTACAGTGGATCCATGTCAGTGCTTCGCGTATCCTGTTCGTCTTTCCCACGCTAGAGCTTCATTCACTGTACGACCACAGCGCGCGAGAGGAGAGACGCTGCGTTCACGCGCCGCCCACAGACACCACAGTCTCGCGGCCAATTAATCACTGGTTTACTGTCCAAATAACAGGACGTGCACGGTCAAGAAACGGTGCTGACATGCAACATGATATTAAAAGTAAAGGTCGCATTTTACAATATGCTCAGAGCTTTGTGAGATGTAAAAAAAAAACATGCAATTTGTGTGTTTTTTGGATTGTATGTGCATGCATTGCAGTGTAAGTGGTTTGGTGGGAATTTTATGCTGAAAGCTGCCTGTTGACACCTGTTGGACTGTTTGAAAAGAGGGGGAAAACAAGATGCAATGGGTCGTTCATGTTATGCTGTACATTTTCATGTTTCAGTCAATATCTCACTTAATTTTGAAATGAAAGCAAATTTAGTTGTTATAGTTTTCACAATAGGACAATGAACTGAATGATGCTGAATATAGGGATCATCCTTAATTTATATTTAACTTTTAACAAATATTGAATTTAATATTTACACCTCTGAAACATATTCGACCAAGCATGTGGTCACGTCTTTTTGTGCCTGTACTGAACCTCAGAGAAGCACACTGTTTCTGCACTCCCTGTTGTTATCCTTTCTGCTAAATTTGCATAATTTATGCAGGGCACCTACTTCACTTGCTGGACGGCTTTTATAAGGGGGAGCTTGATACAGCTCCTTCAGCATTCAGAGAAGCCCATTGTACACGTCTGCGGCGCACGGTTTAGACTCAACAAAACCTGTTGATGATGTGCTCGAGATACACGTCCCTTGGGCTCTCTGGTTGAAAAATGCAGGCACTGATGCACCTTTGCAATCATTTCAATTACGATCGATTTCGAGCGAGCCGAGACTAATGTCAACAATGCTGCGTTGTTTTCGACTGGTAAACAGTACACATCCTTTATTCCCCAGTGTTCTGCCATTCAGGGCTCAAGAAAAACACTGACCCCGTGATAGAGATCCAAGCCTCGTCTTTTCAGAAAAAGCAGTGGCATTGTTAATTGGGAGGTTTTGGATGACAATAATACACTGGGAGGTGGACAAAAGCACCAAAAGAGAGACTATGTGAATAACAGAGGGTCACTGCGAGGCAAAGCGGCACTGGGGATTGCGTCGGCCGTAAAAGCAACGAGGAAGATGGCGTCAGCCAATCAGAACATCCAGAATAGTTCCAGTGACTCAAAACACCCAGACAACTTTGACTTAATAGCATCTTTAGTTTCTGTCAGATGCATATAGAATCCGTGATCTGCTTTAGTAAAAGAGGCAGATCGGTTTACGCTGAGAAGCATCACAACTGAAGGCGTAACAACAGTCTCAACAGGGTCCTCCCTTCACACATGAGGATTGAGTTACTCTAGATAAGCATCTGTATTACGGGAGAAAGAGCGGCTCATTACCAGCATTAGCGTCATCACGTGACCTCAGGTTTCTTCTGGCTCGGCTGGGGCTTTGCGTTTCTCTGGCTGGATCAAACAGATGATTTGTCCACCGTTGATATCAACAGTATCGACAACCAGCTGTGCTGCTGCAGCTTCAATATTCCCGGCGTCCTGCTGCGCGCTGCGAATCGATGCTGATCACTACAGGGGGTGTTAGAATGAAAATCCCCCCGGCTTATTTATCTGCTGGAGGTTCAATATCTGCATATCTGCAACAGCCTTCTCAATTTGTGCATTATACAACCAGAAAAATCAGTTTTAATACATGCCACCAATGGCACACTGTTAAAAACTAGATTTGTGTAGCAAAATTTGCTGCTACAATTCCAGTGCGTTTTAGGATGTTGCTATGTTGTTGCTAGGTGGCTACATGGGCACTTTGGTGGCTGCTAGGTCGTTGCTGGATGGTTACTAGGGTGCTTTGTGGTTACTAGGGTGTATTGGTGGTTGCTAAGGCATCACTAGGTGGTTACCAAGATGCTTTGGTAGTTGCTTGGTCATTGCTGGGTGGTTACTAGGATGTATTAGTGGTTGTTAAGGTATTATTGGTGGTTACCAGGGTGCTTTGTGGTTACTAGGGTGTGCTGATGGTTGCTAAGACATTATTAGGTGGATAACGGGGTGCTTTGGTGGTTGCTTTGCTGGGTGGTTACTAGGGTGTATTGGTGGTCGCTAAGGCATTACTAGGTGGTTACCAAGATGCTTTGGTAGTTGCCAGGTCATTGCTAGGTGGTTAGGGTGTTTTGTGGTTACTAGGGTGTATTAGTGATTAAGGTATTATAGGTGGTTACTAAGGCACTTTGCTGGTTTTTGTGGTTGCTAAGACATTATTAGGTGTATAACAGGGTGCTTCGGTTGTTGCTAGGGTGTTGTGTGCGGTCTATGGGAGTTTTTTTTTTTTTTTTACCAGTTTTATCATCCACAAGGCAAAAATCAAACTCCGATTGCTTGGAGAAAAAAAATTACTATTTTTTCTCCTTAATAAGCTGCATTATTTGTGCATTTGTAGCATTATCAATGCAGGAAAAATGGAGTGCCAAAGTTCTTTTACTTAATGTCCTGAGTTTGTTCAAGTCACTAAACCCAAAGATGTTCAGCACTAAAACACTAAAAGACAGTGCTTTGAAATATACTCTTTTTCTATCCAATGCACAAGCATATGAACATAAAAAACACTGGACAAATAGCAGCATTTCTGCACTCTGTACACACCGCTGCGCCGTGTGAAGCTTTATTCTGCAGGAACAGTGTGTTGATGAGCATCCCTGGGGTTTGATAAAAGCCATTCATGAAACGAACTCCATCCCTCACACAGCACACTATGGCACTGAAATAAATCTCTGAAATGTGACATCAGGCCTCCTTGAGTCTAAAAGAGAGAGAGGGGCCCAAAGGAAGAGCGCTGGGGGCTTTTCTTCTGACAACACACACCAATGTCCCTCTCTCTGTCCCCTTCAGAGAGATGAAAAATCAAAACACAGAAGTCTCTCTCTCTCACACACACACACACACACACACACACACATTTTTTATTTTTTTATATATATAAAATTTATTTTTGTTTTATATTATAAAATACGAAATGAATTATTTTTATATTGTAACCATTATTTATTATTCTTATTTGTATATTACCATAATCTTTATTTTGAATTAGCATTTATTTTTATATTTTCGGTTTTAAGCATTTTCTTTTTTTTTTGCCATTAGATACGTTTTTTTTTTTATTATTATTTATTTTTATTTTATTAAGTTTTATTATAAGCAACCATGCTTTGATGTACATTTTCTAATTGACATGCCAGCAGTGCAAATGATTGTTCTGTTATTAATGAATGTTTCGATACAGTAAGTGTGATCCTCACGAGCTGCAGTGGTTTGAAGTCATTTATCACACTCCTATGGGTCCTGTCTCAGGTCTTTATGGGATGCTAATTTGATGATTTGCTGTGCCAGTCCCCAGGGCGCACTTATTAAACTATTAAAACACCGCACATTACTGAAATCACTTTGATCGCTAATATGTGCTGAAACTCAGATGCGTGACTGCAACTTATGCCACATCTCAGTTCCTTAGCAACTGAGAGAGAAAACAAACAAAACAAAACAAACAGCCCCACACTGACCCATAATCACACACACAGACTATCAGATGAAAGAATCAGCGCTTCAAAGTAAACAAGTGGAGCACAACAGTCACTCAGGCTGCTCAGGCTGGAAGATCTACCACTCTACTGTACTCCACCTATTAGTAGGCGGCTACTAGGATGCCTTGGTGGTTGCTAGGTGGTTACTAGGGTGCTTTGTGTTTCCTATGCAATTACTAGGGTGATTTGATGGTTGCTAAGGCATTACAAGCTGGTTACCAGAATGCTTTGGTTGCTAGGGCATTGCTATGGAGTTATTAGGGTGTATGGAGTTATAGTTATTTGTGGTTGCCATGTGGTTACTTGTGTACACTGGTGGTTGTGAAAGCATCACTAGGTAGTTACCAGGGTGGTTACCAGTGCTATGTGGTTGCTAAGTGGTTACTAGAATGTATTGGTGGTTGCTAAGGCATTACTACTGTAGGTGGTTACCAGGATGCTTGGTATTTGACATTCGGTTACTATGGTGCTTTGTGGTTGCTATGCAGTTACTAGAGTGCATTAGTGTTTGCTAAGGTATAAAAAGGGTGGTTACCAGGATGATTTGGTGGTTGCTAGGGCATTGCTACGTGGTTACCATAGTGTATTGTTGGTTGCTAAGGTGGTTACCAGGATGGCTTGGTGGTTGCTAGGGCGTTGCTATGTGGTTATTAGGGTGTATTGATGGTTGCTAAGGCATTACTAGGTGTTTACCAGGGTGCTTTGGTGGTTGCTAGGGTGATGCTATGTGGTTATCAGTGTGTACTGTTGGTTGCCAAGGTGTTACTAGGTGGTTCCCAGGATGGCTTGGTGGTTGCTATGTGGTTATTAGGGTGTATTGATGGTTGCCAAGGCATTACTAAGCGTTTACAGGGTGCTTTGGTGGTTGCTAGGGTGATGCTATGTGGTTATCAGTGTGTATTGTTGGTTACCAAGGTGTTACTAGGTGGTTACCAGGATGGCTTGGTGGTTGCTAGGGTGTTGCCATGTGGTTACTACAGTGTATCGGTGGTTGCTAAGGTGTTACTAGGTGGTTACCAGGGCGCTTTTGTGGTTGCTAGGACGTTGCTATGTGGTTACCAGGGTGTATTGGTGGTTACCAGGGTCTTTTGGTAGGTTGTGACTGATTACAGCAGTCGCTCATCTGCTCAGGTCGGGACAGACTGTTCTAAACACATTACATGATCTCTTACAGTCTGATTATTTCATCCGACAGATTTTCATCTTTTTCCCTGCATGGAATCCTCTGGGATGTGAAGGTCTGTTGTTGATTGGATATTATAGAGGAAGAAAGCGGCTGAGGGTTTATCGGAGAGCTCAAATGTTTGTGCTAGTCTTTCTCTTTGATATTCAGCGCTGAACAATGGCTGCTCTCGGTCTCACTTTCACCAGCATTCCCACACAATTAATTGCTGTTTGTTAATGGCTGCGATGAGTCACCGAGGTCAGCAACACGAGGAGGAACTTATGAATGGAGCAGCAAAAACAACGTTCTTTCTTAGTATTGACTGTTGATGAAGGACGGGATCAAATCAAAGCCATAAAAACTGAAAAGCCTCAGAAGAAGGTTATTCATTCAGTGGCAAACATCTCGTTTTCCATTACTTTCTGTCTCACATCCTTGAGTTTAAACTATTGTGGCATCAACAGACACTTGAGTAACTCTGGAGCCAGTAATGAGGTCCAGCATTACAGACATCAATGCGCAAATGTTATTAAAAAAAATAATTATATTTTATATATCTCAGTTAGTTGTTATCAGTAACAAGACTGAATTTTCAAAGATTTTCACATTTCAAATGGCCAGATATTATTTTTCCTTGCCAACATTTGTGAAAACAACAAGCAAACAACAACAAAAAACTTTGTCAAATTAGTGTCATGGGTAAAAACAAATCGTATAGATAGATCAGTTTTTATGTCTATATAGTTTTTTTTTTTCGGTGTTAGTTTTAGTTATTTTAGTGCATCAAGTTAAACTAAACTAAAATGAGAAAATAGTTTATATATATTTTATTTCATTTTACTTGTTAACGTTTACTTCATTTCAAGTAACTCATTTTTAATGGTTTTAATACACAATTATATTAAAACCATATTTTAATGTAAATGTATATAACATTTCTCAACAATAAATTAAACTAAAGTGGTTTAAGTGCCCCATCTAGCGGTCACTGAATGAACTACTTTTACGCAATCGCTTGCGTCATCAGAAGGCGACATGTTTAGTTGCCTTATTACTTACATGCTGAACGCGTCCTTGGGACTCTTTACACTTCAGAATATGACTAATTAACACTTATTACGGTAGTTTAATAACAGTTGCAGAAAGTATATAAAGTGATGAACCGTCTTTGGTAAGCGCTTAGAATATTATTCTTTCACAGAGCTCGACTGTCAGCTAAATAACGTGTACTCAAATAGAAATTTGTTACCGTCTGTCAGTATGCTAATCAGTAAACACGTTCATTTTATTAGTGTTATTGACATGTAGACACATGATTTTATATTGCGGTTGTTGACAAACCTGCAGACTGACTGAGGAGAGATGAGCGCTCTTAACGCCAGTGGACGCAAAGCCTGCTGGGACGCCAGAGACGAGCTGTGGAAGTGTCTAGATGTCCATCAGGATCAAACATCTGCCTGCGAGAAACACCAGCGAGAGTTTGAAGCCAAGTGTCCTGCCCAGTGGGTCAGTCCATAGTCCTGAGTGCAGCAGAAACAGCAACATATCTTCTGAGATTCATAAGGTTTTATATATTAATCTCTTGACACCTGCTTGCAATTTGAATGAATTTGCAGCAGCTGTCATGCATAATTGAGATTTCTTGGAGCTTCGTTACTGGCTTATTTAACCATCTTTTATTGAAAATGAAACCAAAAGATTTGATTTATGTTCCCTGTACATTTACATGCTACAAAATAGCATGCAATATTTTCTAATAAGTGCACTTATATTCCACTCTGAATGTAGAAGAAGTACACTTTAGCATACTTTTAGAAAGAGCGCTTATTACGGAATAGTATACTTTAAAAGATATATTTCAATGTTAAATATTTAAGTTAAAGAAAATATATAAGAATTTAAATGCAATTACTGTGCTTTTTTGACCCACCTAATTAGGACTTAAATACATCTTCAGATGTAATTACATATGGTATGCATTTATGTCATTAATGCATTAATTTCGTGCATTTAAATATATTTGTAATTGCACGTTTGTAATGATGAAGTTGCAATTTAGTACATTTAAAATATATTTTAATGTAATATCACATAACAGGCTGTGGATACAATTATAATCAAACAAGTGTACTTCTTTAAAGGATGACAAAATAGGAAATCATTGTAAATGTCATTTTAAATACAAAAAATCTACAAGAACAGTGTTTTACAAATATACTTTTAAGATTTGAAGTACACTACAAGTGCACATTTAATACAGTTTTTTTAGCAATATTCTGTTGAATTTATCACCGAATCTGCATGAACTGATTGTCGTGATTCATTCGCAGGTGAAGTATTTCGTCAAACGGAGGGACTTCTTGAAGTACAAGGAGAAAATACAAAACGAGGGTTATGAACCAACTGAAGGAGCGTCAAAATTATAGACACGGGAGGAAATGAAAACACTGGACTCGGACAGTGAAAACTTATATGAAACATTGTGTTTTTGTCTCGTCTGATCATTTATCTCAATGCATCTGTACTGTATGGAGCTTCAGTGTGATGTTTGAAATGCAAAATAAATAAATGACCCAAAAATAAAGTGTTTTATTATGTTTTCAGAGATGTCAGGTGAAAGAAATCGATCACAGAACATATTACAACGATTCGCTGCCGACAGTAACAAAATGTTAGTTTCCTGTATGTACAACGATCAGCGGCACAGAGGTTTACTCAATTTACGATTGCCAGGATTTTTGTGTAACGTTTGAAACTATCTTCCATAACCAGACCACATGAGCTATGTAACATTTGGTAAGAGCATGTTAGATACTACGCGTGATTTCAGCAGCGACTTCATCTGATGCACAAACCTCTGAAGTAAATAACGCAAATGCATGGCGACATTTGTTAGATGTCAGAAAATAAAGCATTCGGTGTTTTCACACAAACATCGCTGATTGTGTTTTGTAGGCACGTAAACTTGGAGAGACGTTAATCTACATCTAATGCTTTGCTATATAGAATGGTTTCCAGCGATCGCGCCGTTCATTCAGTCCCAGTGAGCAGTTCTGCATCCTCCGACGGACGTCCTCTTACTCCACGGATATAAAAAATAAGGCCTTAATCACGTATATGTGCCTCCTTCAGTGTATGAGCCATGTCCTCGATCAAACACAGCTACAAGCTGCCCGTGACGTTAGGCATCAGAGCCCAGGTGGGAAACTCGCTCAGGTGGAAGAGCGGCTCGCCCCACGTCATGATGGCCAACATCACCACAAAAACCCCGATCAGATTCACTCCAAAACCGGCCTTCACCTGAAAAACACGAGGAGACAATATAACGCATGTCAGTAAGCAGGTATACCAGGGTGATGGGCAAAAAAAAAGTCACTATACAATTAATACTTTAAATGACCTGATTGTTGTGCTTCCCAGACTAAAGTAATACACTGTATATGTCCCTAGTAAGTGGTTTTTACAAGAATCATTAAATAAAACATACTGTATGTGTTAAATATAAATGTAATAATAAATAGATGATACAGACATTTAATATGTATTAAAACAGACATTATTTGAACACATCAACCAAAATCAAATTTCTTTCATCATGAATGTGCATTTTTTTTGGGCCTATGTGTTTCCACAATATAAATGTTTTAATATAATATAATGTTTAGATGATAGATTTTAGTTAAAATATAAAGTTAAAAATAATATTACTTAAAAATAAATAAATATTTAATAATCAAATATTTTCCCCTTTTAGCTGACGCAGACATTTAGTACATTTTAAAATGAAAAGTTTTTCAAAACACATCATCAAAAGCCAGCTAATTTATTTATTTTATTGTATTTCTTTCAACATTAATTGGCATTTTTGGCCTTTGTTTTTCCACAATATAAATGTTAATATAATATAATATTTAGTTTTTAAGGTACAATAGTTTTTTTAATTATTATAAAAAATTATAATAAAATAAAAACAAATACATTTTTCAAAACACAATCAAAAATCTAGATATTATTTATTTATTTTTCTTTCATCATGATTATGCTTTTTTTGGCCTTTCCACCCCTCTGTGTTTCTATAATATAATATAATTAATATAATATAATATAATATAATAAAACAGAACAGAAATAAAATATTTTTAATTATGTTTATAGATTTTAGTTAAAATAATATTTTATTTAAGAGACCTGAAATTGTCTTCTGAATACCTTCCCCCTTTTAAACTCAAAAAATTAAATTAAATTAAAAAATAAAATAAAATAAATAAAAGTCAAAAAGTCTTTTCATTGTTTCTCTCTGACTTTTTTCTTTTTTTTTTCCTATTCATTTTTTATATTCAAGGAATATTTTTTTAAATATATTTTTATATTTTACTTTTTTGTATTTTTATATTCCTTATTCAGTTGTGTTATATTTATTAGCATAAAATGTCATCTGTGTTAAAATGGCATTGTATAATAAACAACTGATAATTAAATGATTCTTTCAAATGAGCATCTTGTAGTTTTGCATATTAAAATTATATGCAAAGCTGGAATCCTAGTTCATCCTAGCCCTGTTACCTTTCTGAAGTCCTAATTATGTGCTAAAATATATTAAATTGTTAATTGATTTAGCACAATTCATTTCTTTAACACTAGCACATTATTTGTCTGACATACTGTTTAAAATCATAAGGAGGTGTACTTTTGGAAGTGGACCAGGCACCTGTTTCACCCTCAGTTTGCTTATGAAAAACAAATGATGCCCCGGCGTTGTTCCTGGCACAGCTGTGAGACGGGACGGAGCTGATATAACAGCCTAATGTTGAGTCATACCATGTCGCTGATCTGCACGTGTCCGTAGCTGAACACGATGGCGTTCGGCGGGTTTCCGACCGGCAGCATGACGCCGAAGGACACACACATGGTGGCGGGGATGAGTGTGTGCAGAGGGTTGATGTGCAGCGTCTCGGACTGTGAGACAGGCCAGCAGTGTCACGGCCCACGGAGGAAGACCACTCATCGGCTCCAGCTGCCGACCGATCCACATGGACAGACCCGACACCTGACCAGAGACGCCACATCATTCAATCACAACTTAACACAGAGATGTTACAGAAGAGTTCTGATGCAGAATTACTGATTTAATACAACATTCTTCAAAAAACATATCTCTTCATTAAATTGCTGCTTTTTAAATGAGACTCTGTATTTTCCACTGGTTTTTGGAAATGCTACTCATTTCTTAAAGGGATAGTTCACCCAAAAATTAAGATTCTGTCATTAATTACTCACCCTCATGTCGTTCCAAACCCGTAAGACCTTCGTTCATCTTCGGAACACAAATTAAGATGTTTTTGATGAATTCTGAGAGCTCTGATGTCACATAGATTATTTTACCGATCTCCTTGCTACGTTTCTACCTTGATCGTGGTAATTACATGCTGTCTATGGGAGGGTCAGAGAGCTCTCAGAATTCATCAAAAATATCTTAATTTGTATATCTTAACCCTATCTTATATCTTAACCCTTTAATATTTTGATTCTAAACTGACACTTTTATCCAAAGCTACTTGGAATCTTACGTATAACATAAAATATTTATCCAATGCAACTTTGTTAGATAACTTTGCAAAGAGTGTTTGGGTCATATTACACTGTAATATTAAAATAAAATTATAAAATCAAATAAATATCACATTAAAAAATGATTTTGACTTTTAACTGACATTGTTATTCAATGCAACTTTGTTGGTGAATCTTGCAAAGAAATCTTTGATTCATGTTACATTGTAATATTAAAATAAACTAAAATAAGTATAATTCCAAAAAATAAATAAATAAACATTTAAAACATATAAGACATTTTATTTTTTATGAAGGAATAAAATAGTGATTTAAAATTCTGATTTAATATTTTTAGAATTTCAAGATATATTCATTTTATTAAAATGCTGTTTATTAAACAAGTATTTTCCACTGGGATTTTTAGGTGTGATTTTAAGGGAAATACTACTTGTTACTTAATTTTTTGACACTTAGCTGACATTTTATTCACATATTAAAAATGATTTGAACTTTTAGCTGACACCTTTATCCAATGCAACTTTGTTGGTGGATCTTGCAAAGAAATGTTTGGGTCACATTACACATATTAATATTACACATAAAACATCAAATTGCATTAAACAATCAAATAAATAAATATAATAAGAAATTAAATTATTTCATAAAGGAAGACTTAAAGGAAGACTATTAACACTGCATTTTTGACAATATTTAACCACATTTTCACCTAAATTCTCATTACTTGTGGACAAACATTTTTTTTATTAAAATCAGTATAATGTAGATTTAGTACAACAAATACTACCATGATGTATACTTTAAAAAAGTAAATATATATATATATATTCTTTCCTGCATTAAAATAATGGGAAAGAATTAGTTTTACATTACAATAGGCCAGTGAGAATTAGGAATTTCAAAAGTCATAATGTTTCTAATAATAGGCCTAATTTGAATGCTCACCTTGCATCCAGCAGCCAGTGCGTATCCTCCTCCCACCAGAATAACAATCTCCCACGGCATCAGTCTCTGGAAGTCTTTCCACGTGATCATGGGGGCCAGAGGATCCTCTTCCTCCTCATCGTCATCATCACCTGCACAGAGAACAGAGAGAGGAGCGGTTAGCAGAGTCGGCCAGCAGGGGGCGAGAACATTCACCTTTCCTCTCATGTCCTGGACCCCAGTGAAGCGCTTGTCCACTGGACCCTGCTGAGCGAACGCACGGCTGTACTGTAGCGCAGCGTGGGATCTGACCTTTGCTCTCGCTGGAGAACGCAGATGGCCAGGGCTTTCGAGCCGGGATGAGGAAGAGGAGGAATCCCAGCAGCACAGACACCGTGGCATCAGTCCTGTAGCCTTTCCTGCAGGACACAGGAGGTTTAGTCGATCTTTCTTATCACGTGTGTATATGTTAGAGGATTTAGAAATGGAAATCAATTTTATTGACTGAGTAAGGGTTAACGCAAGAGGTTCATGTTCATGTACTAAAATAAAATAAAATAATCATTATTTTTGACTGAGCTGACACAAGAGGTTCATGAACTTCTCAACCAACTTGGAATCTTACAAATAAAATAAAACAATAAAATAAAATAATTTTAACTTTGCTGGTGAATGTAACCAAAATCTTTGGATCATATTAATCTGTAATATCAAAATAAAATAAAATGAAATGGATTCAATATACATTATACATATAAATAATAAAAAAAATTATTTAAACTTTTAGCTGACACTTTTATCCAATGCAACTTTGCTGGTGAATAAAATTAAATCAAATTCAATTAAATTGATTCAACATACAATATAAATATAACTAAATTTAAAAATTATTTTAACTTTTAGCTGACACTTTTATCCAATGCAATTTTGCTGGTGAATAAAATAAAATAAAAATGGATTCAACATACTTTATAAATATAACTAAATTTTAAAATGATTTTAACTTTTAGCTGACACTTTTATCCAATGCAACTTTGCTGGTGAATAAAATTAAATCAAATTCAATTAAATTGATTCAACATACAATATAAATATAAC